AAGACTCGCCTCAACTTTTGTTAATATGATGCATATGTATATTTTGTATAACTTTACTTTTGAAACAAATGTAAACTTTCATATATATATATATATATATATATATATATATATATATATATATATATATATATATATATATATATATATATGTAGTGTAATGTTTGTTTACTGTGATTACTATGTACATTGGATTTGATACTCAACGTGGTAGTCAACCCCGGAGACGTTTCCGCCTTTGGTTTTCGGGGTGTGACACTCGGGGCCTTCCGCTTGTTCCAAGATTTCTTTTTGTTTCCATCTCCACTGGTGACTGGCTCGGGGATAGTAGCTTCCTCATCAGAGTTGTCTTCGTGATCGATCAAGATCTTCGCAAGACATTTAGCGCTTTCGTAGGTGTCTGGCTTCGCAGCGAAGTCATTCCCTTTTGTTGGCTGGGTCAATCCCCAGATGAATCTCTCGATCTTTTTACTCTCCAGGGTAACCATTCCCGGGCAGAGTAATGCCAGGTCATCGAATCTTGAGGTATAAGCGGCTATGTTGGAACCCTTCATCTTAAGGTTCCAGAGTTCGTGTTCTAGCTTCTGTATTTCGCCCTGAGCGCAATACTCTGCAAGCAGAAGCTCCTTCATAGCTTCCCAACCCATAGCATTTGCTACAGGTAGAGTTAAGGACTTGACTCGGCCGTTCCACCAAGTCAGGGCTTTGTCAAGGAAGGTGCAGGCGGTGAACTTTACTTTGTCAGACTCCAAACAGGCACATAATTCGAAGATTGATTCGATTTTCTCGAACCATTGAGTTAGGGAAATGACACCTCCAGTGTCATCGAAGGATGCGGGTTTCGTGTTCATGAAATCTTTATAGGAACCCCCTCTTTGGTGTTCCTGGCTGTCTTCTGGGTTTTGGGGCTGGGGACCACCTCCGGAGCCACCGGGATTCATTTGTGACATGGCTGCCACCATTGCGGCAGTCAGAACTGTCTGAAGTGATGTGAGATCAAATTGAGGAGGAGGTGGTGGCGGAGGAGGATTGTCGTTGTTCTTCGAGCTGGGTCTCTTTCTTGGAGGCATCTTGATCTAAAAAGATAAGGAAAGAGAGGATCATAAGTCCTCTGAATTGAATCAAGAGATATGGAACATGGGATATCTCATGAAGACACATATAGCATTATACTAAGCGATAAAGCAGGAAAGAGTTATCAAGACAGAACATTTTATCGCTAGAGGAATGGTCAAGTAACAACGCGTATACGAGGATTTTCTACAAAGGATTGGCTCGAGAAATACTCCCATTGTATTTCTTGTCTCATTGCAACGACGACTCATTGTTTGGGTATTGGGTAAGTTTTAGGCATGCCGCACACCACAGTCACTCCCAAGCACATGTTGGCCGTGTCTCGAATGAATATAGTTGGCCAGGCTATATTGATCCTAGACACGACTACATAACTGCCCAGGTTTAACCGCAGTGTACAACACCCATTTACTTATGTTTTGTTCTACTTGTAGTTACGGATCTCGACAGTTCGGTATACTTGTATACTTTTGAAAATACTTATAGTTTTGAAGATACTTTTAATTCAGAGCACTGAGGCCCTTTAGTGTTTATAGTTTTATACCATGTAAGGTTTGGTATACTCCGTTCACTATAAACAAGGGCTCTGATACCAATCTGTCACACCCCGAAAATCAAAGGCAGAAACATTTCCGGGGTGGACTCCATGTTGTGTATCAAATCAATTGTACATAGTAATCACAGTAAACAACCATTACATTACATATATATGAAAGTTTACATTTGTTTCAAAAGCAAATTGTACAAAAGTTATACATATATCATATGAACAAAATGAGACGAGTCTTCCACGCACTCCGTCTTCACCAAAAGAGATCACCGGGTACCTGTCTAACTTGGACCTGAGAATACAAGCGGTTTGAAAATCAGCATAAAGCTGGTGAGTTCATAAGATGCTTATTTTTCTGAAAATGTATCAATTTCCTTTACTTTTCCAAAAAGGTTTGTTATCCAAGAAAATCCCATATTTTCTTATGTTGAATAGTTTCGTTATCTTTCGCTACAGTTCAATTACGCGTTATATGTTAACCCCAGGAAAATCCCATATTTTCCTAAATCCAAGATTGATTTAATAACACAGAGTATAGTTTAATACACAAAACTATATATTGAGAATCATGGGATTACTATCCCGAATTAGATATAAAATACCATAATATACACCAACTGTAGATAGAAAGTAGTTTGATAACCTTGGGACTAACATCCCGAACTAGTTACAAGATAGTTTGATATACTAGGAAATCTAGATTGAAAACTATGGGACTACTATCTCGAACTAGATATAAGATTGTTTGATAAAACCATGGGATCACTATCCCGAACTAGATATAAGATAGTTGGATAAAGTCATGGGATTATTATCCCGTACTAGATATAGTTTCAAAACCATGGGATTACTATCCATTACAAGATATAGATTGAAATCATGGGACTATCATCCCGTACTAGATATAAGATATATACATACTAAAAACCATGGGAATAACATCCCGTACCAGATACAAGTTCAATAGACTGAAAACCATGGGACTACCATCCTGAAGTAGATAAAAGTTAGTTTTGATAAAACCATGGGATCACTATCCCTAACTAGATACAAATTCTAAAACCAAGGTTGTGAATAAAATTATATTAATACATATTATGAGTCGGGTAACAATGCTGATACGACAACGAGACCTCCTTGATACTTGTCAGATGTCGAATGATATCCAGAAATTTGTCACCCCAAGCGTGCCCGCCTAACTGTAGCTAGCAGTTAAGGTGTGGGATTGTTAGTCCCGAATAGATCTATTCACAAATTCCTCGCTCTCCCTCCAGGAGACTCCGGTTACACTTCCGAGGAGGATTTACTGATCATCCATAAAGGGTAGTGACTACTCACAAACTAGTACTAAACTATTCACAGGATTCTCATACGGTATTAAACATACAAAGATTATGAAACATAATACAGTGAAAATAGATACATACAATGAAACTATCTGACAATACATTCAAATGGTACGGAGATAAACTGAATCAAACATAGTTTATCTAATAACTTTATATAGATATCAGTACATGATATAAAGAGAACTATAGAACCCCAAATTATTCCCATAATAACTTGATTAGTTTGGTTATATTCTTAACTAAAATCCATTTAGTTGTAATTGATAAATCATTCCTTATGCTTAGCATAATACATAAGGAGTAAAAGTGTTTATAAATTTGCCAGATATTATTTGAATCACATCAATGTTATGTTTTGAAAACAGTTATAGTTTGCTTGTATTCCCCCTGAAAACATTGAAAAACACGGAAAAAGCATAGGGGTATGAACTCACCGGACGAGAAATGTGACGATTTCGGATGCTAAAGTTTGGTACGGGGCTTGAAAACGCAAGAGGTTCCTAAGTATAATGTAATGATACACATTTGTATCTAATTAGGACTTAGATTGATTATTTGATAGGGACAATTACTTCTAGTCGCGAAAACACCCCGATACAAGTGTTTGGAGGGACCCGGGTGACATTTGGGGACACATATAGCTAGGATATTGAAATGGGACTCCAAAAGTAAACTCCTTAGGGAGTTTACGGCCCTAATGACCCCCTCCCCATGATTTTACAGCCGTAAACTCATGGTGGGGTGATTTATGGCACAAAATGGCTTGAAACACTTAGGGGATAATTTCTAGGCTTGGTTTAAGGGCTTGAAATAATTTTTAAACACCAAATAACTTACTTAAGGGAGTTTACGGCCTAGCATAGGACTCATGGTCGTAAACTCCTATAAACCCATGAAAAATTTTGTTATTGGTTCCAAACAAATCACATGTGATTGCTAAAATTGTTCCAAGGCCTTACATTCGTTTTGATGGGACTTTTGAGGAGTTTTTTGAGTTTACGGCCCATGAGACCCCCTTCATGGCCGTAAACTCTCCTAGAGAGGGATTCCTTGTGTTTTAAGGCAAAAAACTTGTTTATATGCACTTCTAAAAATTATTCCAAAGCTTTAGGGGTGTTAAAGTGGGTTTTTAACACCTTAAAACGAGTTTACACCATGTTTCAAGGAGTTTACAGCCCATGCACATGCCTTGGCCGTAAACTCATATAAAGCCCTCAAAAATTATGTTTAAAGTGTTCCAAGGCTGAAGCAATTATTCTAGAAGTCATATCCATGTCTTGTTGAGGTTTTGGAAGGGTTTGAGGTCATAAAAACCCCATATACATGAGTTTACGGCCCAAGCATGTGCCTTGGCCGTAAACTCCTTCAAATCCCTCAAAATCCATGTCTAAAATGTTCTAAGTCCATTCCATGAAGTCATATATCCATATCTAAGGTCCAATTGTGTTTTGGAAGGGTTTTTGGGCTTCAAAACCCATTTCATATGAGTTCACGGCCTAGGATTGTTCCAGGGCCGTAAACTCATGAATGTGGTCCTATTCCATGTTTTGAACTTGAATTTGAAGGCTAGGGAGGTTACATAACAAGCTAGGGAAGGTACCTTAGAGATTTGAGGCCTTAAATTTGAGTTTTGGACCCTTAAACTTGGATTTAGGAGAGAGGTTAGAGAGAGAGTAGAGAGAGGAAGAAAAAGATTCAAATGAATGTTTAAACATGTTTATATAGGTGCTAAAACTTGGATACGGAGGAATTCTACCCGATACCGGCATTAAACGGGGCTTTAGGTCGCACCCGATTAAGTTTCCGTCACCCGGCGGGGACGTTTCTAAACTTTTTGAAATAAACATTTTGGACTAAATTCATGAGTTCCTAAGAGGTTTGGACACTCATTAGAATTAATTAAACATATAAGTTTGATTAACTAAACCCAAAAACGACATCGGAACGTTTCGATATACGGTGAGTTATACGGGTAGAATGGGTTTTCGGCGATGAACAACTTCGGGTTGTTACATTATGTTACACAGATGTGGAGGGAATTGCTCAACAGTGTGGAAAATATCAATGTTGTAAATGGCATTTTGTGTGCAAGATACTGGAGTTTAATTCTTAAATTTTCATACCAAAAGGAAGGAATTCAAGTACCAGCTGATGAGGTTACAACAAAATTTTGGAAGTACAATTTTCCGAAGGTTGTTAACGATAATGTTAAGGAATTTCCTAGTGTTGGTAGGATTTCAGATGGTATGCATAGGAAGGTGGATTCTTCCAATTCAGTTGTATAGGCTTATTTGAAAATGATCAATCCCTCGGTTGAAACTAGAAATTTTATTATCTCGAAATGAAGAGGGTCCATATAAATGTTCGAGACGTTCTAAGAAGGTAGAGGAAAGTCCTATGAAACTGATTCAAGAGAAGAAGAAAACAAAGTCTCCAACGAAGAAACCAATAGATGATGTCAATGTCTCAAAGCCTAAGGATACCACTAGTGAAACAAAGCCTTATGAACCTCTAAAGGAGGTGGTTCCTTCTAAAACTAGAGTGTTCAAAAGAATCAAGAAAATTATACATAGATCACAAAGTTCTTCTGATAAATATCCATGTTTTTATCCATCTATGGTTCGAAAACCACATGTTACAAGAAAAGGAGTGGTGATTAGAGAAGTTCTAGTTCCCATCTCACCTTCATCAAAGAAGTGACAAGCCGAAGATATGGATAAACATATTTCGTGAAAACATAAAAAGAAGCTTCATAAATTGGTGTTAAATGAAGAATCTACTGAAGACGAAGTTCTTCAGGATCCACTAGTGACAACATCTAAAGTCGATACTTCAAATATTGAAATGATTGTTGTATCTTCCTCAGTTTCTCAACCAGAACCAATTATTGTTTCACTCCATTGACAACAAATGTTGAAACCACTCTGTCACAAGGTACACCTATCATTGTTTCTTCTACTTTAGAAACTTCCACCATAGAGACAACAACTACTTTGCCTCCATTTGTAACTAATCCTCTTGAAACACATTCACGAACTTTCGATAATATCCTCAACCAACCAATTACTTCCTTATTTTCTTCCCAATCTACTGAACCACCAGTTACTACTGCAGAAGTCCATCATTCATCTGATGATGATGAAAATGTTTTTGGTGGAAAATTTGGAGATATTCAGTTTGATACTGAAGAAGAGGATATTCCTAACAACATGATACTGACTGGCAAACAATTCAAAATCCCGAATCAAAAACTTAATTCATTATTGTAAATTCAAGCTAATGGAGGAGGGAAACATTCAGTATCCAGTCTTGAAGTTGATATTATGCTCAAAAAGCAAGCAGACCATCTTCATGAGGCCATTTCTGAAGTAGACCAGAATAATGAAAAGCGTGTGAAGAATCAATTGTCTACTTTTTCTTCTGATCTTCAAGAATTGAAAGTTGTTACAAAAGAATGTCACATTTTATTTGTTCAATATGTTAAGAAGGTAAGGGAAGATGTGAATTTGAAAATTTAGGAACCTCGGGAGGATATGAGCAAATTGATCGTAGTTGTGCAAAAAGATTATGTTTTTCTTAATCAAAAGATGGACATAATTGCAGATGCAATGACAAAATTTGTCAAAATTTATGAAGTTCTTGGCCCTAAGGTTGATCAAATGTCAAAAGGAAAATTCAAAGCTTCTCAGAAATCAACAAATTTTTGACTAAGTTGAAAGACATTGTTTCAAAGCCAGAATCCTATCCTTTAATTACCCAGAATTTTTGTCCCAAAATTTTCTTCTTTTCGAAGCTGTTCTCCACAAACAGTTACCCCCATTATCTCAACTTGCAAGTATTTTACCAACAAATGTGCCACCTATCGTCATAGTGTTGCAAGGTGGAGAAACAATGTATGTATGTGAAGGAGCTTCTGGAAAACATGGTGAAGAAGCTCAAGTAGTTGGAAAAGTCTATACAATAAACATTCCAGTAACAAAGCCAATCATATCGGTAGTTGACCCTATGTTTTCAACTGTTACAACTACAAGGCAGGTGTTGAAAGGTATAGTAATTGGGTTAAGTGGAGAAGGTAGTGCTTCGAAACCTAAAGAAATCACAATAATGCAAGATAGAGGGAAAAAGATTGTTGTGGAAAAGTCAAAAGAAGAACAAAATGCAGAGGTGGAGGTTGACATGGAGAGGTAGAGACCGATTCATAGTATATTGAGGCTTCGAGAAAATGATCCTCCTCATCTAAACAAGGGAGATCCCAAAAAGTTGCATAGCTATGAAAATATCGAAGCAAGGGTGGTGTACAATGAAATGCATGAATTTGAGAAGAAACCCAGAAAGAGTTATGATATTGAAAACTCAAATATGAATCAACTTTACTTCCTAAACAATAAGACAATGTTCATAACATCCCAATATAAAATTGTTGATAAATTCAAGAATCTAGATGATGTCACACACATGAAGCTACAGTTTCATGCTGTTTAGGGGAAAGAGCAGGAGGAAGTATGGTCTTGTGTGAAAATTGTTCAAGTTTTGTGTATAACAAAAGATGAAATGTTCGAAAACATGTTACAAAACTTTCAATATCATGTGGTGAGAGCTAACAAAGTCACATGTAATTTCACCATTGATGACTTTCCACTTATGAACTAGAATGATCTTATTCAAGTTGCATATATTATTAAGGAGTCGGATGAGTCAATTCTTCAGGGAACAAGTAAAGATGTGTTGAGATTGGGAATGGGTCATCATAAAATCTTCATTGACAATTATTACGATTGTCTTGCTTTGACTGACATAGAGTTAGCTATGTATTTAAGAAAAGAAGTTTTTGTGCCTCAATCGTTGGAGAAAATGAAAGCTGATTAGTTTCATACATTGACTGTGAAATTTGCTTGAAGCCATATGGGATTGTTTTTGTTGGAAAAGCGAAGAATGGAAGACATTCAAAATTTTTGTTTCAAATTAATGATGTGGAAAGGTACACAACAGCACAATATACGAATTTAATTGTTGAAGTTCGGAAGACTTTGCATAACACTGCTCAAGTGTTAATCAACTAACTTCAAAACTTATTACAAAGGCAAAGATTGTTAGTGTCAATTTTTTTTTAATGTGTTGAAGTGTTTTTTAGAAGTTTCGAATAGTATGTTATCTATTTACTAAGACATTTATGTTTTGAAGTCTAGATGCTTAGTCCTTAGTAATTTTCGTATGATTTAGTTTTCTTCTATAAATAGGAGTTGTTACTTAGAGATAGATAACTGTTTTAGAGTCTGTCTTGTCTAGATTCTCTTTGTAACTGTAAAGCACAATATGAGCTTAAACAATATCTTATTTACTCCCTGTGTTCTTAAGATTCATTTTCATTTCTCGATCCAATACATCATCAGAGACTGTTGGATTAGGTATCTAAGCCCATAACTATAATTGGTATGTACTTGATTTGATAGTAGCATGGTCTTTTTAGGTTGCCTTCACACTAGTGACAAGACATGATGGCTATTCAGGAGAGAGACTGATTTATTATTAAGAATAATACTTTGGGGCGTAAATATGATTTATTAATATATTATAAGAATACTATCTTAATTAGAAATCATATTATTAGTTAGTATTTAATCAGAAATTAATTTGGAATTAATTTTGAGATTAAAGGAACTAATTAAAAATGCAGGGGTTGTTTTGTAAATATTTGATATTTGAGTCTTTGGGCCATTGGATCACCCTTATTTGGGATGGGCCAAAAATTCCAAGAAGTTTCTAGGTATTTTCGTCCAAGGCTATAGGAAAGGAGGTCCATGGACTTGTTTAGGCCCTAAGCTAAGGAATTATGGTTTCCACGTTAAAACCCTAGCAAGCCAAAAGTATAAATAAGTCCCCTAGGCTCTAGAATTCATCCAACCATGGGAAAACCGTAGAAGAGTAGTTGTTTGGAGCAAGTTACCCTCTCTCCTTTCTCTTATATTCATCCTCTCACCCTAGTGTGTTTGTGAGCCACTAGAGGTGCTACAATTGTGGTACTTGTTTTCTAGAGCAAAGGAACTTCAAGATTTAATTGTTATTACTATATAGCAACAAAGGAATGTAATATAATCTTTTATATGTGTTTTTTTTCTCAAAAATATTAGATGCATATTAGGGTTTCCTATTTGTGCTCATTTGTTGTATGTCTAATAGAGAAAACATAGATCTGAACTAGGTTTACAAGCACACATAGGATTGTTTGTATAAAACCCATCAAAAACAACATCAAAGTAAAAATCCCAGAGATCTCCAGTGCAGAAAATGTGGTGTGATGTGTTGTGATCATGTTGGCTCCTTTCCCTTCGAAAATGAAGTACCTGAACCCAAAATTAAAAACTATAAGCATAAAACTTAGTGAGTTCCCCCTTCAAACCACATACCATACAATACACGTACTACGTAGTATATCTAGGTGTTGGCCTACCCTTCGGTCTCTTTCAACTGGTAACTGCTTAGCATATCCGGGTGCTAGCCTACCCCTTCGGCCTCTTTCAACCAGTAACCGCCTAGCATATCTGGGTACTGGCCTACCCCTTTGATCTCTTTCAACCGGTAATGGGAAGTATTTCACGCCTACCCCTACCATATACCATCGTATTACATAAGCATATAATTCACATACTGCCTAGCATACGTGCGTGCTGGTCTACCTCTTTGGTCTCTTTCAAACGGTAACGTGGAGTATTTCATCCCTTCTACCACTATTACATAATATCATAGCATACAAACACATAAAGCATAGCAGATAGTGGCATACCAAACAATTATCACAACGAGAATCTTCTCAACTTTAATCAATTACTACTAGGCCGGTATTGGTGCCTCCGAACCAAATCTAATGGAAGGTAACCTACCTCAAACACTACGAAGTAGTTGAACTATCCTCGAATCTAAAATCAACCCCAATCAAACTCTTACACATAGAAGATTTCCTTTAATTTCCCTTTCATACACATAACCCCCCTATAAGGGTCAACTTTGGTCAAAGTAAAAGTCAACATCCTAGTTAAAGTCAACATTCTGGTCAAAGTCAAAATTTTTGGTTGACTCAGCTCACCAAGTTGACCCATCAACTCACCGAGTTCCATATATCAAAAACTATGAAAATCGCGATTTAACTCGTCAAGTTTTCACAATTAACGAAATCGAGACTTTCCTAATCACTTCGTCGAGTCACACTTGAACTCGTTGAGTTCTTCCTTTTACAAATAAGGACACTTCGACCCAACTCTTCAAGTTCTTCTACAAACATGTCAAGTTCTTCAGTCTGTTAAGCTATCTTAATAGATTAAGCTCCTATCCTTCAAATCTAGACCCTAGACACTACTTGAATATGTAAACTCTCTGCCTTTCTCTCCATGCATGGCCTTTTGGGGCTTAAAATTCCAAAATGACATCCAAAAGCTTGCATGTGGCTTCAATGGTCATAATGTTTGCACCTTTATGTCGTGAAAGCACTACAAGGCCCTGGATCTGGAAGTATACTCACTTGGGACGTCCATTTCCCAAGGACCATGCTACATGGACCAAAACCCAATAAAAGTGACAATGAAGAGATCTAAGTAATCATTAAGAAAGTTTGAGACCTGCTTACCAGAAAATGATGCAAATGAAGTGAAGTTTCTGGATCTAAAAGCTTCCTCTCGGGCCTTCAAGCTTCTCCTTCTTCCATAAGCTTCAAATACACAAGTTGTCTCTAAAAAAATACTTATAAGCTCACACAAGGCATTAGGGTTTCGAGATTTAGGGTTTGGTACTTGGAGGCTGTAAATGAGGCCAACGTATGAAGATTAAAGTGTTTAAAGAGGGTGCAAAAAGCTGAAAATTAGGGTTTCATTCTGCCAGTCCTACTCATCCAGTTGAGGCTCCTCAACTCATCGAGTAGACTTCACAACCAGAGTCCAAACCCATCTCTATTCGATGAGTTTGGCGCCTCCAACTTGACGAGTTTCTATAAAAAAATGAATAAATTGAGAATTAAATATGTACATGGAACCGAGCATTATAAATCTCCCCCAATTATTTTAGAATTCATCCTCGAAGTCTGCTGCGTCTGGAAATAGCTTTGGGTAGTGCTCCCTCATCTCATCCTAAAGCTCCCACGTCTATTCCGAGACCTTCCGGTGCTGCCACTACACCATCACTAACTCTACCCTATTGCTCGTTAGATCCTTCGTCTTTCTGTCAAGAATGGTTACCGAGCTGTCGATGTAGTTCAGGCTATCATCCACCTGAATGTCCTCTA